GGACAGGGATTCTGACGGCCTGGCTAGCCCGTCTGCAGTGGCTCTCAGTGACCGACTGTGCAGCGTGCGGTTGGGAGGGGTCCTTGCTGAACACCTGTGTGTGGAGTTGAGCAGCTTTCTGAAGACAGATGGAGCAGCATGGTGTGTGAGTGGAGTGACTGGAATGGCCCAGGGGGCAGTGTTGGGATTCATCTGTTGAGGTGACACTCTTACTGGGGATTGGCCGGCACTTCTCTGTGGCCTTGGTAGAGAGGGTGTCCCTATGGTCTTCACATACCTGGGCTGTGAAAGCAAACCTGGCCGTTCCAGCGTCAGACATGGATGGCATGTGTTGTGAGAGGCACGGAGGCACCCTGTGGGAGACCTTGGCATTTTCTCTTCAGTCTCGACTGTGGCGTTTTGTGACCTGAGGGGGATGTGTGGGGATGGAGCAGTCGGCCTCTGAAAGGTTTCTGCCCTCTCGTACCATGGACTCAGGTGACGAGGAAGCGTTCCTGTGCAGGGGTGGGAGATGGGCATGCCTGGAGACTCACTTGCATTGGCTGAACTGGAACCATTTTTCTAGCTGAGAATGGACAAAGGGAGGGGAAGGTTGAGTGTCGTTTTGTCCCAGGACATTATCGAATACCTCGTGTTTGGTTGGTCTTCGGTCATTTCGAGGTTTTAATGTTCCTCACTCTTAGAAGGAAGTTCACCGAACTCCAGAGGAAAGCTCACGACAGCGAGTCATTGTGTGATATGACAGTTTATCATGATATCTTGTGTCTTACCTAAAAACAGTTTTGTTTTTAGAGGTGAACATCCTCCAAAGCCCTGGCTCCTGCCACTTACTTACCGTGTGGCTTTGGGCAAGTCATTGTACCTTTTGGGTTCCTTATCTGTCACAGGCTGAGGGACCGACCTTGAGGGCAAGTTCCCTTTACCATAAAACCCTCTGATTCCTGTAACTGTGCGTAATAAAAATATAGAAGCAGCTGTAACTCCATGGAGCTGTGTGGCCCCAGAGGAAAACACCCAGGCTTGGAACAGGAGGCTTGATGACCTTGGGGCTTTCATGCTTGAGAGCCTCAGTTCCCCCATTTCTGAAATGTGGATAATAACTGCACAGGGTGAGGACAAAAAGGAGCAACGTGTTTGCTGTGCCTGCAGGTGCTGTGGAAATCCATGTTCCGTCACCACTGGGCAGTTGGGGACAAGCGGCTCCACCTGAGCTTCAGCTTCCTCCTGAAAGATGGGGATCACTTGCTCCTCTTCAGGCCGTGGGTGGGGGCATGCGGGATGGCCCTCCAGGCCAGGGCAGAGGTGTGTGACGGGGAGGCAGACAGTCCAGCCTGTGGAGGTGGAATGGACAGACGAGCGGCGGGGAAGGCAGATGGAGGGCACGTGGCTGCGTCCCTCTGGTGCCAGCTCTGGAGTTTGGGCTGCGGCTGGGGTTGGCAGTTTGGGAGACCAGAGACGAGGCAGTAAAGATTGTGTTACTTGGTGGTGCAGAGCTGGCCTGGGAAAATGGCAGCAGCAGTGGGAAAGAGGAGAATCCCGGTGGCATCTGGGCAGCTGGAGGGCTGTGGCACTGAAGTGGGTTGAGAGGGAAGCGTGGGTACTGTTTTGGAGGCGCTGGGCCCTGGGGACGGACGCGGGTGAGGGGCAGAGTGCGCACAGCGGAGGCCTCTGCTCTGTTCAGTCGGTTCCCAAGCTTTCATTGAGCATCTGCTGTGTTTGAGGCTTGGGCACGGGAAAGGAAGACGCTGTTCTTGCTTTCAAAGAGTTCACTGTGGGGGATCCTACTCCTGCATCTCCTTCATGCTTCTTGGATACTGACTTCTCATCATGTAGACTCTGGCTAACCCTCTTGGTGGCCTCAGGTGTGTAGCCGCGCATGGAGGGCTGACTTCGGCCCTCTGCTTTTTGCTGGGCTCCTTCTCCTCACTCCCACCCCCGGAGAAAGCCCCCACGTCCATCCTGTCTTTTCAGATTGTCTTCTCTTTTCACTTCTCGCCTCTCTACTTTTGCCCTTCGCTTGCTTCTCTCTTTCTCTTCGGCAATTACCGATTTCTTCTGAATTTTTCTGCCCTGACGGTAGCCTCTCCTGGGTGGGCACGGTCATGTTCTACCAGCACCTGATTCCGCTTCGTGTTTTTTATGCTTGAGCTGAGGTCCTGGACTGAACCTGAGGTCAAGCAATGAAGCCTCTCACCTCATCTGAAATGTTGGGAATGGACCAGATGCCACGTTCTTTTTCTACCCAGAAGCTCCGTGATAATAAAGTACTTTATTATTGAAAGGCATTCAAGGTCTAAAATGATGGGCAGCAAATGTTAGAAAGGGTTACTTGGAGGTGCTTTATTTTTTGAACATTTGCATGGCTTTATTTTTCCTCTTCTGAGAATGTATCGTTTTGGAACCATCAGAAGGAGAGGCCGAGCATCTCAGCAGCTCACCTCAGGCTGCTCTGAGGCCTGGTTTGCTGCCTCATGCATCTCCGCAGAGCCGCTTTGACTGTTGTACCTTCTTTCATATCCACTGTTTTGGTTTATCCTGCGTGTGACCCCCTGAGGTCCTTTCCAGCTCCTACATTCTTCTATTCTGTTTTCCTTCACCATTCATTCTCCTTGTCTTGGGTCACCAGTGCTGTGAACTGGTGAAATCTCACAAAAGCTAGCAAGACACCTGCATTACAGAATTTTCAAAAATGCATGTCTGTTATTTTCAAGCCATTGTAGGCTGGCAGAAGTAAACCTGAGCTGTGACCATAGGGCTGGTTAGCACGTTGCCGTTGTTTTGGGAAACAAGTTTAGTGACTGTTTCATCCGAAGTTGAACATGACCCTGAAATCCTTTGTTGTGGGTGGTGTGGAGGTGGACAGGCAGCCCTTCCTGGAATGACTACGTGTGTGGAATTAAAGGCTCCAAATCAACTAGAACTTCTTGTATTTAAGGGTGGTGTTTTAAATGGCATCCGAAGCTGGTCTTCGGTTCCAGCAAAAGCATCTTAGACCTACTAGAAATGGAATGAAACTGAATAGCCCTGGAAATGGGCTGTGAAGTCGCCATACCTGCTGAAAACATCGTGGGAAGTTCCAGGTTTATTAGCTAGGTCACATTTTAGATTTGGTTTGGTGAAGAACAGACAAAGTCAAATCGTGTGTCCAGCTGAGCCCACTCTGTAGCTCAGATACCTAGCTTACGTTTCTGCGGCATGGGCACACGGTATGGGAAGGGGTACCTAGAAAGCAGGCTGGGACAGAGAAGGCTTTAAGCTGGATTATCATTTATTCCGTAACAGTGTATTTAAGACTGTGAAGGTCAAACCTTCAAATACAGCGCTGGCTGTGGCACTTCCTGTGATGATAGACATGTTCTGTGCTGTCTGGCACGGCCGCCACTAAATACACGTGGACCCTGACAACTAGAAATGCAGCCGATGTGACTGAGGAACTGAGTTTTTGTGTTAATTTTAACTAATCTTTAAATTTGAATAGTCTCATGTGCTTAGTGGCTAATTGGACAGTACAGCTCTGATAAACCAGCAATTCCTGGTACCTGATCACGTTGCCTTAGGAAGTCAGCCCATCACTAAGCTGATAGGCCTTTCCGCACAAAAGAATCAAACCATTCCATATAGCTGAGTAATTTTTTCAGCCTGTATGAAAATACATTCTGCTTTCTGATAGCCGACTGATGGGATTAATTGTTTTCAGATACTCCGTATTTTGACGTAATAACAGTCCATTGGACATACTCTGAAAGGTGTAATGATGCAGGATGACTGCCTCCCCTGCTCTCTAAGCAGTCCCTGCACCGTGTCTTGTGTTTTTTCCAGGGATGGTCTTTGCAAGCACATTTAGATCAACAGACTTTTAATTTTTCATTTCTTTTATTTCTAATCATTTTTTTGGTGAAACTCCTTGTCTCTCATTCCTCCTTTGGAGGCAGACCCCCGTTATGAGAGTGAGGGAATGTGGCCCCAGCCTGCACATGGCTGCCCAGGGAGGGCCCCACAGGTGGACCAGGAAGTGGATCTCCGTGCAAAAGCTCTTGATTACCTCATTAGAAAAGCATCTTAATAACCTGCATTTATTCAGCTTTTGCCTTTTAAAGTACTTTGATTTTTATGATCTTATTTTTACCCTCATTGTTCAGAGGTTCAAGATTTCTCCCCGCTGGATGGCTCTGCGGTTCTGTGGACAGAGAATGCTGGGATTCCCTGTGCCTCTGAGAGAAAGGAACTGGATGGGCGGGAGGATTGGGCTAGGTCATAAAAATGTTTTATCTGTGACCTTTAACTCTTCGTTTATTGCCTCCATTGTCCTAGGAGTGCCGAGTTCTTAGTCCACAGCAGGGCATGGAAGCCCCGTGTTGCACTCGACCACGCTTTCCCCTTTAGCATGGCTTTCAAGGACTCATCTTGAGATTAGGAACTGATGCTGAGGTTGTTGGGTCACTCTTAGATCACCACATTTTATTGGTGAAAATTGATCAAGAAAGAGGAGTTCTAAGACTTTTTAAAGATTCTTAGGCCTCAAATGGTTCCTATTCCGAAGTATTGAGTATATCTAAAAGAAGGCAGTGTTTCTACACCCATTTTAATGTTTTCTTGAGTTTGTAATTTCAGTGTATTTGTTTGGAAAGATAAGAATTGTTTTCAGCCAAAACCTCCTTTGAAAATGGTACTGTGAAATACGGTTTTAGCTCACAGGGCAAGGAGATGTGTGCCTCCATCATGGGAATTATTGCGTTCTTTAACTGATTCCACTTAAATGCTCTTTCTCCTTTTCTCACTGTGAAAACATTTGAAAGAGTCATGTGGTCCAGTCAGGATGATGCCATTACTGACTGGCCAGCCCCACCAGGCACACAGTAGGTCCCACACGCTGTCCTGCTATAGCCTCAGGTTGAGGAGTGTGTGGAGTGGGACCTAGGGGTGAGACCTGAGACAGTGGCGCCTCCCTGAGCCTCGCCAGCCATCTGGAACAAATCACTGTGTAGTTCTTTCTTTCAAAGGAACCGACGGTGGTGGATCATCGTCCGGAAATGGGTCTGGGGTTGCCCCCGCTGCCCCTGCAGGGGGCTCGCGCTCCTCCTCCCGGAACTTAGGGTCTTCTGGCGGTGAGAAGGAAGAAGGTAAAAAGGTCCGGCGGCAGTGGGAGTCATGGAGCACAGAGGACAAGAACACTTTCTTTGAGGGGCTGTATGAGGTGAGTGTCTTAGGAGCCAGAAAAGGTGGCTCCCACCCCTTAGCCTTTTGTCATTTGAATTTCTCTTTCAGTTTCCCTTTGCCTCTCTTTCCACATGGCTACTAGAGCTATTAGGTTAGCAGTTCCAGTGGGGGGCCCTTCATGTGGCTGTGGCAGGTGTGGGCCGAGGGCCGAGACCTCACCCTTCAACCCAGGCCTTTCAATGCCTCGTTGCGACTTTAAATGCTGTTACTAGTGAGGTGGCTGTTCGGAAGCATTTGTGTATGCTGCTTTGATTTTCTCAGATTCTACCTGTTGTCTCTTAAAACTTGTTGACTGAAGTGTGGTACCCTTGCAGCTGAGTGGGACGGTCGGGAGGGGGTGTCTCATGAGGGGGAGGGCCAAGAGACACTTGCCACATCAGTCAGAGCAGCCAGCTCTGCCCTGAGAGATGTTGCAGCTGACCTGGGACAGCCTGGAAAGTCCTAAAAATAGAGAGAAGCTGCTCCCTGATCCCACAGCCCAAAGACATGACCATGCTCCCGGCCAGCGATTTTCACTTCCATGTTTTATATTTTCAAATCTTTGTAATTATAGTGAACGTGCTTGTTTTTAATTGTCAGATGCATTTTTTATGGTGTTGTATAGATCTTTTACTCAGTATTTTTTTAATGCCTCTAATTATTCTACTCTAGGTGTAGGCAAACCTGTGGCCTACGTGCTTGCTGCCTGTTTTTGTAAATAAAGTTTTATTGGAACACAGCCATGCCCATTCACTTGTATTTTGTCTCTGGCTGATTTTGACTGCAATGGAAGAGTTGGGCAGTTACGACAGATTCTAAGTGGCTGCGACATCTAAGTGTTTACCCTCTGGGCAAGCAAGCCTTGTTCCACTCAACCATTCTTGTGTTGTTGATTATCATGGGTCCTTCCAGATTCTGTTCTAGATAACAGTGCAGGGAACATGTTTGTGCACATTCCATATTTTAGCCTCCATCTTTGGGATATAGCGAGTATCTAAAGTAGGTTGCTCAGTCACCGAGCCTTATTCTTTTAATAGTGAAAGAATTGGAGTGATAGAAAAGTCTGGCCACACGTGTGAAACAGGCTCATAAAGGAAGGAGACTTTGGAATGGAAACCACGAAGTGCGCAGAGAGAGACCAGAAAAGGAGACTAGGAACTAGAGCTCGGTGCCGATTTTGGACATTCCTGTGGCCCGTCTTCTCCCTTCCTGGGGCTGATGGTTCGGTCTGCCCGTCCCGGGTAGAGGAGGCCGACATATCGGTGTCGTTTGATTCAGTCATCCAAGGAGAGAAGGAAGTGTGCACAGTAGGTGCAGAGTCCTTCAAATAAATCCATATGTGTACTTTTTATTCCCTTTGGCAGTTTTAAAGTATAGAGACTGTTTTTGTATCGATTGTATCTCCACATTGCCTTCTGTAAGCTTTTTGTTAGGCATAGAAGACTCGTGATTCCTGGAATGTTCTTGCAATAGCAACCACTGCTGATTCTAACCTGAGACGACTAGTGCTTTCGTACGGCCCTTCTTTCTAGGGGAGAATGTGGGCTCTGGAGCGGGCCTGGCTGCCAGAAGCAACGGGAGGTGTGTTGTCTATTAAAAGTAGGAGGGGAAGACTTCCCATGAATGACCGGCCCTTACCTTTCTTCAGGTGGATCAGTTCATTCCTTTCTTGTTCGCCAGCCTTCTTGTTCTGATTTTTCTACCATGCAGGTATTTCTTTTGAGGTCACCTGAAACCCTTGATTACTAATAATTAATAATTGGCTATTCTGATCACTTAATGCTTTCCACTTTTCATGGTTTGTACTATGTAGCCCAAATAGTGTGAGAGTATGTATTCATGTATTTGTGTGTGTGTGTGTGTGTGTGTGTGTGTGTGTGTGTGTGTGTGTGAGTGTGAGAGTGGGAGAGAAAGAGAGAGAAAGAGAAAGAAAGGGCAAATGCCTAGACCCAACTCATCATCCTTGATAACCTCTTATCCATTTCAATGGCGGTTCTCCACAGAACCTGTTGCCAACTTTTCATTTTCCCTTGTTATGTCTGTCTGTCTGTCTGTCTGTATTTTCTTCTGCTATACAATTCTTGATCCCTACCTTACAGTCACAAGGCCTCCTGTGCTTATTATTTACTGGGCTGATGATTGCTGAAAGCCTCATCTAAGTTAGAGCACTGTGGTCGTGCTGGAAATGCAAGGAAGTCCCCCTTACGGGGCTAACAGTCTAATTCGGTAAATGTAACGGGCATGTAGAAGCTGGACCATCAGAAAGCAAGCGCTAACAAATGCCACAAAAACTCAGAAGGCGGCATAGTTACACAACACGGGATCAGGAGTCACAAAACCAGATTCTAGCCCCCACTTGGTAAGTCAGTTCCCCTCCTCGGGTTTGTGATTATAGCTGCAAAAGGAAGTCCTGAGAATGGGGGGCTGTCTGCAGTGTTTCGGTCACAATTGATCAGGAGCTCAGAGTTTTATGGGGGAGATGGCACCTGAGCCGGACCCTGCTTCAGATGCAGCTTGGCCTTTTTACATTTTACCTGCCATTGTGGGTTTTTTTTTTAGAATGAACAAGCTTTAATTATTTTCGATTTTTAAATTTTCTGACTTTTTATTTTGAAACAACTTCAGACTTAGAAAAATTTGCAAAAAGAGCACAAAGAATTCCATATGCTCTTCACCCTGCTACTCTGACATTCACACAATTGCATTGTGAGCTGAGGATGAAGAGTTTCAGCGTGGACACCACACCTTCCCGACCTGCCGGCCTTACTGAGCTTGAGCCGCTGTCCTTTCTGGATCAGGCTCCCACATTGCATTGGGTCATCACAACTCCTAAGTCCTCCGACCTGGGGCACATCCTCCCTCTCCTTTTTTTCCTATTCTCATGATCCTGACGCTTTTTTTTTTTTTTTTTTTTTAGCTGAGCCATCCCGCCACCTGTTGGCAGCTCACGGCTGCTCAGCTCGGGCTGACTCGAACCGCTGTTGCTCAGAGCTCAAACTCTTGAGCGAGCTCTTAACCAACTGAGCCACTCAGCCGGCCCTCGATCCTGACGCTTTTGAAGCCTCCTAGGCTGTTAGTTTGTGCTCAGTTTGGGCTGACCGAGGCTTCCTCATGGTTCAATTTACATTTTGCATTTTTGTCAAGAGCACCACACAAGCGCTGTGCTGTCCAGAGCATGGGGTGCGACCTGCCTCGGGCCTGGGGGTGTGAATGTGATCACTGCATTCCGGGGGGCACCTCCCAGGGTCTCCCCCACCAAGTCATGTTTTTACTTGTGAACCATGTGAACACCCTGTTTCCCATCCTTTTTTTAAAAGATTTTTATTGGGGAATTGGGGGAAGGGGAACAGACAAGTTGCTGTCGTTTTGTTCTTCAGTCCAGTTGTGGAGACGTTGCTTCACTGGCCCAAGTTGGCACCATCATTGCGCTCTTCCCAGGCAAGGCAGATCAGTCGCCGGCTTCTGGACGGCTGCTCACTGCGGCTGCTGGCCGCTCACACTGGCTGCTGGCTACACACGGTAGCCCATGGCAACCCACTGCCACAGGGGCTGCAGCCTATGCCGTCGCCGGTGACTCACGGCAGCCCAGCTCCAGGTTGAGCTGTTGTTCAGCATCTTAACTGTAGAGGGCAGTGTCACTGGCCCTCATATGTGGGATCCGAACCGGGGCCCTCTGGCGTCCCAAGCCAGCTCTTAACCATCGCGCCACTCGGCCGGCCCCCATCATTCTTTCTCCCACTGATTTTAGCCACCGTGGCAGCATCGCCCCCGAAACAACTTACTGTGATGTTTGCCCAGTGATGATCTCCTGACTCCATTTCTACATTTATTAATTAAAAACCCAGTGCAAGGAAAGCTCCCCCTTCTCCCCGATTTAAGTACTTAATTATTTATATTTGTGTGGACTCAGGGATATTTAGACTATTCTGTACATCATAATCCATTCTTATCTTGATTTTGTCACCCAGATTGTTCTAGATTCGGCCACTAAGTTGCCTCTTCATGTTGTTTTCTGTCCTTTCAACACTTTTCCTGTCATGCCTCGAGCACTTCCTGACTTTCCGGCACCACAAGATATTCCAGATTCCTCTGGTACTTTGCTTACCCCAGAACTGGCGTCACCCATGTCTCCAAGGAGTCCTCGTTCCTTTTGGAACATGGGATTTAGAAGCTAAGAGGGCTGGTTGCTGCTGGGGGGCCATTACCTCTAGGCCCTTCCCAGCGCTTCTCACTGGCTTGGTACTGATGAGAAAATCAACAGGAGGTTCTCATGGCAGTTCCTGATTGTGTCCTCTGGAACCCAAATTCTGTTCTGAAGGGATGGTGCACAGATGTATTCCTATCATATTCTGTGTGATTCTCTCACCAAGTGTTCAAATTTGCTATCCCTGTTCGAAATACATTTTGCATGATGGAAGCAATGAGGGTGTTTCTGAATAGTCAATGTATTGTTGTATTTTAAGATGCTAGATACACAATCCCCTGACCTCCTTGATGGTCATGTTGCTTCTTCTGATGACTGTCTTGACGGAGCTGTCTCATTTCAGGGTCTCTAAAGAACTCCAGAGATTAAGCCGTTTGTGTGATACGCTTTATCCTGCTCCAGGGCCCTTGCCTCTGATAACCACGTGCTGTGACAGTTCTGTGCCTGAATTCCTTTCACTGCTTTATCTGTTATTCTGATTAAAACCCGAGGTTCTAGGGAAGCAAGGTTGAAATCGATGTACAAATAATAGCTGTGAAGGACGCTTGCTTCACCCAGTGGCCCCCTTTCTCTGGAGGCATCCGCGTCATACAGAAGGCCGCCTTGTTTTAAATTCTGTGCTTTTCCGGGGGCCATATTTTTCAGCATGGGAAGGACTTTGAAGCGATCCAGAACAACATCGCCCTCAAGTACAAGAAGAAAGGCAAGCCCGCCAGCATGGTGAAGAACAAGGAGCAGGTGCGACACTTCTACTACCGCACGTGGCACAAGATCACCAAGTACATCGACTTTGACAATGGTAAGCACGGAGGCTTCGTCTTTAGGAGGCTGGGAGGCGGGTGGGGCTGGGCTCTGGTCAGGAGCGGGGTTCTTGCAAACCCACAGCACACGTTCTCTGGCGTTATTCTTGCCCAGCCACGCAGCTTGTGATATCCTTACCACATGGCACTTGGGCTGGCAGGACGCACGCCTGGTAACCATCGGTCAGGCTGAATTATGAGGAAGCTGTCGCATGTCACCCAGGGGTGGAGGGCTGGCTTTCCCAAGGCCCTTGTTGTCTGTATTTGAATCCAGATTTGCATCGGCCCATCTTTAATTCACCTGTCTAGGTTATCACCAGGTAATGTCTGACTTCTGGCTCAGGGCACCCTTTCTGATTCAGGAGGCACTGCCCCCTCCTGTCTCCATGTGTCAGGATAACTGCGTCTCTGGGCCATTCCTCCCTCTCAGTCTTCAGTTCCATCTTCTTCAATCTTACTCTTCATTTCTATAGCTTCGGTCATAGTTCAGCCATCCCAGACATTTGCTTCTACTGACTTCACGTATTTCTGATGCTTCTCTTCAAATAATATCACTTCTGATCTAGAATAACTGTGATAGCTGCCGTCCCATCACTCGCCCTTGGAACCTGTCCCGTGAGCCCTCCATAGCAGCCCTTGATCCTTTCGTGTTTCTCTCTTCACCCTGCCCTCGGGTGCTCTCCTGGCTGGGCCGGTGTGTGTCAGCCAACGGGCGACCCATCAGGACACCAGGACCGGGCTTCCTTCTCCAGCCTTAGGCCCAGAGAGCTTGACTCCAGCTGTCACTTCCTGTAAGGGTCAGATGGTAAATAATTTGGGCATTGGGGGTTACAGTCTTTGTCAAAACAACCTCACTCTGCTTTCTTAGCTCATTGTAGACACAACGTAAACAAATGCATGTTACTCTGTTCAGCAAAACTTGATTTGCAGAAAGAGGCCCTGGGCAGGATTTGGCCTGGGAGTCATCGTTTGCTGACCCCGACCTGAAGAAAGCCTTTCTCGCTGCCCCCGGCCAGCGAGGAGCTCTTGAGGACCAGGGACCCACATTCCAGGCCGCCCCACTTCTTAGTTGACACTGCCCCTGAATTTATTTCCCTTTGAATCTTTGTGGACACGCTCGCCTGCCAGTCAGGGTCTTGTTGGGTCAACCTCAGAGCTTTTCAGACCTGTCCTCATGGCCCAGTCCCTTGGCTTTGTTCTAAATCAGCTCTTGTCTGCTGTGCTCTGGTCCTGGCCTTCCTAACCCGCCCTCTGCATAGCTCATCCACACAAGACCCATGTCTGCTGGCTGCTTCCTGCCTGACCCCTCCTTCCCCGGCACCGCCCAACACCCATCTCCTGACCTGCTGCTGCTCCCAGCATGGGGTTGCCACCCTCCTGCTTACCGGCACTTTTCTTTGCGCCTTGCCCCCTGCCACCCCCACTCCGTCGACCTCTCTAACCCCATTCACCTCTCAAGACTGAGCTCCTGTGTCAGTGCTCCCAGAAATCCTGCCCCCACTGCCACCTGACGGTGGGCCTGCTCTGTGCCCATCATTGAGCACATGACGTGCTTGTCCCTGGAGATGCTGTCATTCTCACTGCAAGCGAGAAAACCCGGGTTCAGTGATAGGGACCTTGACCCAAGCCACCCAGACAATAAGCAGAGGAGTCGAGCTCCAAGTTAGGGCCAGTGTCTCCTCGCTTTTCTCTTCCGTAATATAGTATTTTCAGACCACCTCTTTATGTGGCTGTAGAATTTCCCTTTGTGTTTTTCATGAAATGTTAATTCTTTGAGTTGACATCTGTAAATGAATCAATTCTGCCTTTCCTTTTAGACTTGCAGGCCACACCTAGTGTTACTGAATAATGCAGGTGTGGACATCTTTATTCATATAGCACTTTTTTTCTTCAGAAGTACTTTCTTCAGCTGACTTCACATGACCGAGATAGCTAAGTCTGTGTAAATGGGTGTTTGATGTCTCGTGGTGAGAGTCTTGTAAGGAGGGCTGTCTGGCTGTCCTCCAGGAGGGTGAATGTCTAGCCCCCTGGCCGGGGTGACTGGCTTGTCTGCTGTGCTGTATTTCTCATCTGCTTCTGTCCTTGATGTAGGCAGGCAGGAGCACCTGGCAGTCGAGTGCCTGCCACTCATAGCAAGTCCCATCTTCACGGCAACACCCCACGTAAAGTGCCTTTTTTCTGCCAAGTTCATGGCCCCACTAGGTTCTCTCTGGCCAGTAAAATGCTCTTGTTTCTCACGAGTCTTTTTAAGGTAACTTTCCAGCTTCAAAGCCTTCCAGGGGCCACCTCACAGGGTGTCCTCCTTCCGGTCCTTGCAGAGGACACATGTCTCTGTGTTCACTGCACCTAACCAGGGGACCGCCTTGGAGGGGGCCTTACTGTCCCAACTGTAGTCCCTCCAGCTGGAGGGAGGGGCCTGCAGTCCAGCCAGGAGTCTTTCTGGGGAAAATATAGCACAAACGACATTGTACTGAAGACGTTTTTAATAGCATATCCATTTATGTGAGATCGTCCCTGTTGCCAGAGACCGGTGGAAATGGGCTGTCAGTGCCCACGTTTTGGGGACAGTCCCTAGATCTGACTTGGCAGGTCTTTTACTAATACTATTTTGTTTATTTGCTTTCAATGTCCACGTGACCATTAACATAAGATTGTCCGCTGGCTTCGGCATATTACAGCAAGTCAGCAACATTTTGTTCTTCCTCTGTTTGTCAACACAGCGTCAGTTTGTGTGTGCTGTTGTGATCGGCCGTAGCTGCGGCTGTTTTTCAGATCATCATGTTATTTGAAATATCAACACTGGTCCGGATCCTACTGAGTTCAATAGTAGTTAATATCTGTTAATATCTGTCGTCTTCAGAGACACCCTCCCTACCTTGCAGGGTGGCATGCAGGAATGAGTTTTAGCTGTTTGGCTCTTTCTGTGTTGCCTTTTACATTTTTTTGTTACATATCATATTCTTAAACGACTTTCTGAAAGTCAGTCCATGCGAGGGGTCCTTCATCCACTTTGGCTGGCTGAAAAAGCTCTCTTCCAATGAGAGGGCGGTCACCAATGTGTGAGAGGATTGAGAAGCCATTGGTGATAGTGTGGAGGGAGGGATCAGATGGCTCCAGGAGCCGTGATCAAGTCTGTTCTGTGCTGTGCAGAGCGGGCAGTGCCATGGAGGATGCTGGGTTCCCGTTGTAGACGGGGTCTCATCTGCTCTGAGGTCAGGGACGTCCCAGGGCCTGCCACACCCAGGCTTTTTTCCTGTTTTTTTTAGGTTTCAGAAGTGACTTAAAGGAATGTTTCTTTTCCAAATATTTGCCACCTCTCCCTGCTAGACAATCTCCTCTGCTCCTCCCCTTGTCTCTGGAGGTGTCATCCCTCTTCGGCCCTTTAACCGATTTGTGGATGACAGGAGGACGAGTCCGACGCCGTCAGGTTCTGCTCCCACACCGCACTTCGATTCCATGGCAAGCTCTGCAGGATGGCTGTAACACGTGTTCTTTCTCCCTTCTCTGCAGTGTGGCCCATGTTGCCCTCTCCCTCCCCTCCATCTCCTACCTTCCTGGCATCTCATCATTGTGCATCTTTTTCCTGGTGGTGTCTTGGTGTGAACCCCATGAGAAGTGCCTTCTTTCTGATGTTGAGCTGATGGCTCGACCAAGGTTCTTTAGCTGGTCCTGATAATAGCTCCACGCTGGTGGCAAGCCAGTTGACACCCCGCCTCTGTGTGCCTCACCGGCAGTTGCCTCAGGGCTTGGCTCCTCCATCCATTTTGCAGCCCCTCCCCCAGCCCCTGGCAACCAGAGTCTGCTTTCTGTCTCTGTGGATGTGCCTGTTTTGAACGTTACATATAAAAGGAATCATAATACATGACCTTTTGCATCTGGCTTCTCTCACTTAGCACAGTGTTTTCCAGGTTCATCCAGGTTGTAGCCTGTGTCAGAACGTCGTTCCTTTTTATGGCTGAGTAATATTCCATTGTCAGGATAGACCACGTTTGTTCATTCATTGGATAGCAGATCTTAAAGTGGCCTGAGTTGTGGTCCCCTGTGGGGGTTGATGAGATTTGCAGTCTTTCTTTCGGGAGAACCTTCAGGAATGGTTGGTGTTTGAAGTTGGCAGAGTCCCAGGATCCTTAGTCTGTCCACGGTTCACATTTCTTGTTTTAGATCACTTATTTAAAACATTATTTTCCATTTGCTAATATATATATATATTTTTTTTTTCCTTTTTTGTTGTAATCACACATAGCTGAATGTTAGGACTTGGAAGGGTCTCTGAGGACAGGACGATAGTGAGGGTGAGGGACAAATGACATTAGTTGCTGCTCTCTGAGATGATCTGAAAGGTGCAGTGCCCAGACTGTGCTGTAGCCGGGGCTTCCATCAGGATTAGGTTTGGCTCCATAGAATACAAAAACCATTCAAAATAGCAATGGCTTAAGCATATAAGAATGTGTTCTCCCATGTCAGAGATGCCTGCAGTAAGTGGTCCAGGGTGGGCATTGGGGATGCAAGTGGGGATTCTCCCATTTTCTGCTCTGCATTCCTTAGCACTTTGCAGTGACCAAGATGGCCCCACGCAGCATCTCTGGAGGAAAAAGGAGTGGGCAGGCAAAAGGGGCCCATTTCTGCTCAGATCACTCTTCTAAGGAGTCTCCCACCATAATCTGCTCACTCCAAGGCCAGGTCTTAGTGGTGTGGCCACGTCTAGCCACAGGGTAGGCTGGGACATGTGCTGCTTTACTCATATGTATTGCTTCCCAGATATAACCGGGCTGGTTATTAGGGAACACGGGAGAGGGGGTATCGGCAGTCTCAGCTTTCGCCCCATGGTTCCTCTCTGGTCTGGCCCCAGGCTGGGGGCATGTAGATCAGTGGTCAGAGGACGTGTGACAGGTCAGCTTCCCTGGTTCCAGGGCTCACATGGAATTCGGGCAGGTTCTCCTGTGCAGAGAGAGGTGGATGACAAATTTAATGATTGTCACGTCCCACCTCCTCCACCTTCATGGGAGCCGGTTGTGCTAAAGGTTCGTTTTCTCCCCCCGGGGGAAATTGATCTGCCTGTTAGGACGCATTTTGTAACCCAGCCCCTTTTTTCTTGTTTACCTTTTTTTTTTGAAAATTACAAAAACAGCACCGTCTTCCTGTTTACTCTTCACCCAGTCTCCCCTGATGTTAACACCTGGAACTGAGGTGCAGCAACCAGAACTGAGAACTCAGCAGCATTGAATGTTCTGCCAGCGCCGTGCTGGTGCACATGAGCTGGCCAACCTTGGAAGGGCTGTGTCTTTCCTCCTAAAGCCTTGTCATTTCTTGTCTTTTAGTGTTCTCGCGTGGGCTGAAGAAGTCCTCCCAGGAGCTCTATGGCCTTATCTGCTACGGCGAGCTGCGCAAGAAGATTGGAGGCTGTGAGTACGAGCAGCCAGTGCTGCCCCGGCCCCGCTGCTGGCTTCAGAGTAACGCGGCTCAGGGGTCCTCCTGACAGGGCCTGCCGTGCTGCCACTGTTAGGTCTTTGGTCCCAGGGGCATTTGTGCTCCCTC